ATACATCAGAGTAATCACTGAGATATGTTGATATATATGATACACAATGATATACCACACAATAATAAATAGAAGGTGAATGTTTTATGGATGTACATCATTAAAATCAATTAATATACCAACAACAATTACTAAAATAAGATATGATTGTTTTTAGGATGTCAATCATTAACATCTATGAATATAGATAATTTACAATATATTAGTCAAGAAAGAATATTTATGAATGAACCAGTATTAATTAGTATTGAAACACCAAATAATCTACAAATAATCAATGGAAAGAATATTTTCAAGAAAGATATTAATGAATTTATTATTCCCTCTTCAATTAATAAATTAGGATATCGTTGTTTTAATGGATGTTTATCATTAACAACAATTAATATACCAACAACAATTAATGAAATAGCATATAAATGTTTTAATGGATGTTCATCATTAAAAACAATTAATATACCAACATCTGTTAGTAAATTAGGAAATGATTGTTTTAGTTTTTGTTCATCATTAACATCTATTAATATACCAACATCAATTACATCATTTGGAAATGGATGTTTTTACAGATGTAGATGTGAAAAAGAATTAAAGAAAAATGAAAGAATACCAATAGATTGTTTTAAATGATGATGAATGAAACAAAAATACAATAAATGAAATACAATATAATTTGAAGAAGAAATAAATTATAATTGATTATCATTTATATTATTATTATTCTTTTCTTATTTATTCTTTTTGATATTATTCTTTTCTATCTTATTGATTGATATGATATATCATTCTTTATATTTGTTTTATAATTCTTTTTTTATTCTTTATTTCTTTTTATTCTTATTCTTATCTTTCTTTTTTATTTCTAGTTCTTTATATCTTTTATTTTATTTATTTTATTTTGTTTAGATCCTTTTATCAATGCAGAATATACATCATATTTTGATACTATGCTTATTGAGTAATACCATAGAGTCTTGTAAAGAAAATCAAACAAGAAACAGGTATTCAAGTTCAAAGAAAAGAAAGAATGAAATAACAATAAAATTCATAATAATTATGATAAAAGAAATAACAAGAGAAAAGTGAATAGAAAAAGAAGAATACAATGAAAAACAAATAAGAAAGAAAGTAAATATAATGATAATAAACATTATACAAATAATAAATCTAAATTATTAACAACAAATGAAATTGAAATAAAAATTAAAAGAATAACAAGAAAATGGGAGAAATGAGAATACGAAGAATTACTTAAAAAGTATGAAGGTAAAGAAAATATATAATATTCTCCAAGAATTATATTCAATAATAAAGAAGAAAACACTAGAGAAAATCAAAGAAGAAATCAAAGATAAAACAAAAGAATGGACAAGTGAAGATATTAAAACAATCGAAGAAGGAATCAAAAACAAAAATTGATCAAAGAAATGAATGATAGATGTAAAGTACAATAATAATAAATTAAAAAGAAAATAAAGGGAAAACACAAGATAAAGAAGAATAATATAACAAATAATAAATTGACATTCTTCAAAATAAAATTAAAGAAATAGAAGAAAATATTAAAGAATTTCAACCAAAAAAAGAATGAAGAATGAATCATTTCAAATGAAATGATTCAAAAAAAACATGAGATACAATTAGAAAAGAGATTGAAGAAGAAATAAAAAAGATTCAAACACAAATAAACAATGTTCAAAATACATATAATGAAATAAGAAAACTCTAAATTAAAATAATAAAATAATTCACCACAATGAAAAATAAATGAAACATAAAATAGAAATAACGCATAACGATGAAATCATTATTCTCTTTGTTAATTATGAGATAAAGAAGAATGATGATGATGTGATGAAGAAGAACATAAGAAATAAATAAAAACAAAATATTGAATATCAAAAAAAGTATGATTGAAAACTATGAGATTGCAGAAAAAACTAAAGAAGAATTAAACAATACACAAAAAGAAAATGAAGAATAAAATCAAATAATATCAAATCATCATCAATTTATTATTTATTTTTTATTTCATAAATAAAGAAGAAGAAAACAATGAAATTAATGATAAATACACAACCAATATTGAGAATATCATCATCATCTGGGATAATACAAATGAACAAAACTACAATATGAAAAAGACAATTCTGGAAATAGAAGAGAACAAAACACTGAATATCAAAAACAAGAAATGATAATCAAACAAGAAGAGAAGAAAACACAACAAATCAAACAAACATAAATTTTAATTGATGTGTTGTATTGTTTTGCAATTAATTTGTTAAATAAGAAATTAAATAAGAAATTAAGAAATGAACAAATAGAAAATATAATAAATAATAATGTAAATAATGATAAAGAATATTTTAATAATATTAATATCAAATAAAATAAATATAATAAATTAAAGTTTAATATTTTTAACATGTTATTTATATGAGAATTTTTTCACATCCTTCACACTTGGCAGAATCTATTTCTTCTGGTTCTTCTACATCTCTGTATTCTCCAGAATGATCACCACAGTATCTCATAATATCTTTCATATTTGATATTACATTATCTTTTAAAAGAACCAAAATAAACAAAGAAATAATGAACATATAATAAAAATTATAAAAAGAAAAATGAATAAAATATTTTGCATAAATAAAATAATATTAATTATTTTGCATAATAAATTAAACACTTTTTATTTCATATTTCTAATTTCTATAATAAAAAATACATCCATTATTTCATCATTCTTTTCATCTTTTATTATCTCATTTTGAATTATTCATTTTTATCTTCTTTCATTTTATATTCTCAACATTCTACTTTTATTCTTTTTATCTTCTTCTACTTCTTAATTTCAATTTTTTCTTTTATGTCATTCTTTCTCTTCTTTTTTCTTCATTTTTCTCTTATTTCCTTTTTTTCGTTGTGTGGATATTATTTAAAATAATATCTTAATATGTTGGTTATTGTTTTTATTGAGTTAGATTAATATGTTCATTTAATTTGTAATTATTCTATTTTGTATTTTGTATCAATACAAGTTTTTATCATTCTTTCTTTTTATTGTACTGTTTTGTTTTTATTTCATTCTTGTTAATTGATTTGATGTATATTTTCATTGAACTATCAATTTGTATAAATGATGATTGAATAATTATAATCATCTGAATGAAATAACATTGTATGTATTATATATGTCATAATATAAATTATTATTTATTCTAATCAATTTATTTATTTGTAATCAATTTATTTCTAATTTCTTCAATGACAAAATAATCTATTAAATGTTACATTATAATCATTGGTAATATTTGCATTAGAATATTATATTTATTTAAAATATTGAAATAATTGAATATGTATTTGATCTGTTGTATAAATTGAAATGTCTAAATTAAAAATATTTCCAATTGAACAATAAATTTATGGTTATTATTAACATATCAAAAAGTATTATTAATAATTGAGTTATTGAAAAGTACTCAATTCGTTATCAAACAATGATGGTCCATGTAAATATTAACACAATGTATTGACGTACAATCAATAATAAATATCTTCATTCAATTTAATATTTATATATAATTTTATAAGTACGTTAAACAAAACTGAATAAAATTATTACATATTCAAAACTGATTGGATTCATAAATTGAAAATATTGAGAATAGTGATTACAATCAGAAATTAAATAAACTGAAATTAACTGATGATCACGGAATTCTATGATTGGAAATAATATCAAAAACAATTAAAATGATAACACTGGTCTATCTAAAAAAGAAGTTGATGAAACACTAAAATAATTATAAAAATTTCAACAAATTTATAAATGAATAGTTTTTAAATATTGTTATTTTTTGTTGATAAGCATGAAAGATAATGAATAAAGAAATAAATAAAAAGAAACAAAAAAGAATAAAGAAAGTCATAATGAATTATATGAAGAATACCAAATGACTAATTACAGTTATTTATTTCATATTTGTATTAT